TATCTATCTATCTATCTATCTATCTATCTATCTATCTATCTATCTATCTATCTATCTATCTATCTATCTATCTATCTATCTATCTATCTATGCCTGTTTAGTTGCCGGTCCACAGGGCTACAGCGGTTCAACATGAGTCGAATGATCGACTCTAGTTTGCTGCCAATCGTCCCTCGATATTGGACGGCATTAGTGACATTTAAATTAAAAACCATTGTTTTGACATTTGTGCTGTATGTGTGGGTGGATTGTTTTATTTTACGGTGTCGTTCAGAATAAAGAATTTTACAGTTTTGTAAAGAATATGATTGAATAGTAAGTAACGGTAGCAAGACGAGACAGGATTATTTTCAAGAAATTAGGTGAAAAGGAGGAGGGGCAGTTTTTCTACTGCAAAACTATGTGGACATATTGTCTTCTTTTTCTTCAAATATCAGGTCTGAAGCAGACTTTGACAATAGTGGCTCCTCACTCATTACTGTTGTCTGTCTTTCTGATCACCTCAATTTTTTCTTCTATTATCTATTTGTGGTGGCCGAATTTTGCTATTCAAAAGGCTTTTTAATGGCTGCATCGATCGACATGCAGTTTTCGCCAAAAGATTCTCTAAAATATTCTCCAGATCATGACGCCCTTCGTTTTTTCAGTTTTGAGAGAGTTTTGCTGCAAAAAACTAAATTTCTTTATTTCGCCGATCGCTTTTGTAGGCCGTCACTTCTGTCTCTGTAATTTGATAAAATCCGGTGCGGAAGTGATATTTTGCGAGGAGCATTTTGTTTTGAGAGTATAGATCTAGATCTAGACCTTCTAATTTTTTTTATCTCTCAAGATTTATAGCTCTATTCCAGTAGAGTGTCAATTTTAATATAGTAGGCTAATGACTTTCAGTTGATGTTAATGCACCGATCATTCCTTTCATCGAAAGGGGGCCCAGCTAGTAATATATATTACTTGTTGCAGAGTTGCTCAGGTCATGTGTGTATGTTGTTCTCCGTCTTCCTCTGTTCTTCTTCCCCGTTGTACGGTCGCTTTAAAGCACAAGGGGATTATCCCGAATAATGCTGTTTTGAGACAATAAAAAGTAAAGTTTTGGACCAATGAAATCTATCCCTGAGCAGTACGACATCAAGGGACAACTGCTAGACAACATCAGGACTATCTATGCCAACAGCAGAAGTGCAGTCACACTACCAGTGGAATATCGGACTGGTTTCCAGAAACATCCAGTGCCAGGCAGGGCTGCAATCTCTCCCCTCTTCTCTTCGTGATCTTCATGAAACAGATTACAAAGGAGGCCAAACCAGACCCAGAAGCACTCAATGAAATCATGTTTGCAGACGACCTGGCAATGATAACCAACAAGACTAAACTACAGGAGCATGTGAACCAACTAAACGCGAGCTGCGAGAAATTTGACATGAAGATCAGTGTTAGCAAGACCGAGGTCATGACAGTTAGTAGGAGACCAGACAAAGTGGATATCAACGTCAAAGGAACCCAACTAAAACAAAGCAGCGAATTCAAATACTTGCACTGCACTTTCACAGAAAATGGAAAATTAGATCGAAAAATAGAGACTGGATGCCAGAAAGCCAGTGCAGACAGCTATCAACTCGCCCGTCTCCTGAAACATCCCAATATCCCCATAAGCACCAAGACAAAGCTCATTAACGTCATTTTCCAACCAATGTTCACATATCAGTGCCAGACAAGGTCCCTAACAAAAGCCCTCGATAGGGAACTAGTCACAGGCGAAATGAAATGTTTCAGAAGAGCGGTTAACTAGACAAGAAGAGACAAAATAAAAAATGAAATTGTAAGGGATATGTTAGGAGCAACACCAGTCCTACTACACACTGAAAACAAAAAATGAAGTGGTTCGGACACCTCACACAGATGCCCTCAAACCAACCAGCTCTGAGGGCATACAACATCAAACATTCTGGCTGGAGAGCCAGAGGAAGACAAGGCGACACTGTACTGAATCTGTAGCAGACACCCTCAGAGCTCAGTGGATGTCCCTCCTACAGGTCACTCAACTTGCTACAGAAGCCTGTATCTCCCTGCGACAGCCACTGGTACAAGCAGAAGAAAAAGGTAAAGTGAAGAAATATATCCGTGCGTATTTGTTTTCAAATGAATTCTCCTGTGGTTTTGCCCCCCCGAGCACAATTACACCACACGAAAGCTGAACCAGATATTCATTTGTAAAAAAGAATTACAACATCTAAAAAATATTCCCAAGGAAGAAATCTGTCCTCATTTCTTTATCAGTGCGCAGATGGTCTAGTTGTACTTTTTGTGGTCTTTTGCTCTTCTTTGGTTACTTAAGTTTGACTTTCATACTTGCCACAACTGGTATGTGATCATTTCCTCAATCTGCCCCTAACATTGATTTATGTGAAGCGGCTGAGCTTCTGAAGCGTTGTTATATATAAGGATGTAGTCTGTTTGGTTCCTTATTTTGTTCCCATGACTCTTCTAGGGTGGTTCTTTTAATCTTGTGTTCATCAAAATAAAAGTGGTTCCTTGCACCCTTCTAAAAGTTTCTCGCATCTTTCGTTGATTTTTCCTTTTACATATCGCACCTCTGTGTTCTATATTCTTTCCTTTCTTATTTTAGCATTGAAGCTCCCCCATTATTATTTTAATATTCTGTGACTTGATTTGTTTCATTGCTTTTTCCGCGTCTTCATAGACTGTCCCAATTTATATCAGGTCCTTATCTGCAGTTGATGCAATTAATTGGAGAATACCTTTGTCAACTTTGGTCTTACCCCCCAGTTTAACTACGATGATTCAGTAATTAACTGCCCAGAATTTTTTAAGGGCCTTGGAGCTTTCAAAATCCAACATAGTGTTTACTCCTCTCTGAAGTTCATTTCCTCCTAAATAATGTATGTCAAATTCGTCTGATTATGCTTCCGGCTCCCTTAAACCTCACCTCAGCCAATCAAAGTATATTCAATTGGATTCTTCTCATCTTTCTCGTCGTTTTTTACCTTTCTCTTCTAAAGCATGGTTCAGGTATTCCAAGTCCAAATTTTAATGGTGATTAGTAATGTTGCCGATTATCGCTTGATAGCATCAC